TATCGTACAGTGATATTTTAACGAGTAGTTTTTATTGTACAGTGATATTTAAACGTGTAGTTTGTATCATAATCGATTTCAGTAATAAAAGTATTTATGTCATTGTGAGTTTAAACGTCACAGTTTGTTGTTCAAGTTATTTTCATCAGATTATTCAATGATTCATATTCATGCTGGAATCAGGTCACATTTACATAAGATGAGAAAAATCCACATTAGTGAGAAAACACGAGGAGGAACTAAATATAAATATAATAATAAAGTCAGCTCTGAACATCATCGCACATGTTCATTTCATTAAAGTGAAGTCGAACAAACAAGAGTTGAAATATCTTCACTTTAACTTCAGTGAATCATTTAAAATGTATATTTGAGATATTTCTTCTTCACATGAAAACAGCAGTTTGCTGCAGCGTCGCAGGATCGATACGACTTCACTGCAGATTTGAACTCTGTTCATGCAACAGCAGAAAATAAATTAAAAACATTTACAACAAATATAAAAGACGAGAGTTCAGAATCCTTCGAGACATCTGGAGGACGATATTTAAACTTTTAGAATAGACACAGACAATGTGTTTTAAATCCTCCCACTTCTGTCAGAGAGGAGGAGTTCAGACCTGTGACATCACAGAGAAAACCCTCTGTCCATTATTGAAGCCAAGAGGCTTCTGGGAAATCTACCTAACGCTCAGCCACAGACTCACTGAGTTTCTTTCTTCAATGAGCCGCCAGCACGACTCTCTGTTGCTAAGCAACTGCAGGGTGTTTGAAGTGTGACGCTGATTAAAGCTTCTGAGCAGGAAACACACGGATGTACACGGATCCCTCCACGGACGGTTGGTGGTTCGATTCCTGTCTGTCCTAATGTGTGATGACAGAGTGAATCATATGAGGACGAAGCAGGAGTTCTATATGTTGTGTCACAGGTCTGAGTCCCGTCAATCAACTTCAAACCAAACACAGAGAAACTGTTGAGTTTGAATGAATCTTTAAATTCTGCAAACGTTTATTAAATGACAGAATTCCTCTTTTCTAACTCAGATCTGTTTAACTCAACTTATCATGATGAAGATGATGAAGATGATGAAGATGAAGGGGAGGAACTCTCGGTTCCAGGTGACCTCCCTCATCTTTTCTTTGTTACCGTGGAGACGTGCCTCGGAGCAAACAGGAAGTGAAAACATCATTGTGACACAAACTAAATTGGACACAGGGAGTCAGCAGCAGACGTTCTCACTGAATAATAAATAATACTGGAACACTGTTTTTAAAAACACGTCACGAACCTCATGTCCATCAAACACGTCCGTCTTCTTCCTCTGATCCCAGGTCAGCAGGTGAATCAGGACAGATGTTCCCTCATCAGCAGCTGTTCTGTGACCTCACCACCAGGGCTCTGGACCTCAGGGTCAGAACGCAGGTCAACTGTTAAATCGAGAGCTTCAGCTTCAGCTGACGACTTCAATGACGACTTCATCTCGAGGACACGAGGCGGAGGGTGATGGGGGCGGAGCAAAACTCAACCGATTCAACGACGTCAGTGAGTGAAACGTGGAACCAGACGTGTTTCAGTGGAAGTTGTTGGAGCGACTCGAGCGCAACGTAAAGCTAATCAACCATCTGTTTCCCAGCAGCCTTTGCAGCAGCGAGGACGACATGGACGACTCAGACAGAACTGGTGACACGTGATGAGGTCAGAAGTATGTGGACGGGGATTCACTGGTTCTGGAACCTGCAGGTTTGATGCGAGGAAGTTGAAAGATGAAAGTGAGTAGGCGTTGCTCTCATGTTGCCATGGATACTGCATCCAGACGGACAGCCGGGGTCATGGCTCTGCTTCCTCCGTCATGACACAAACACACGATGCAAAGAAGTTGTGAAGTTTAGTCTCTGACGCACGAAGAAGAAACGCTGACACATGGGGGGGGGGGGGGGGTTCTGTCAGATGGTGAAAGGGCAGAGATGACGACGCCCCCATCAGGGTGTGAACACGCCGCTGCCTCAGTGCCCTTCAGCAACACACTGCTGGGCGAAGTGCATCGTCTTGAATGGAGGGAGCACGACACGAGCTCTAAATGTGAATGAGTCAGTTCAGAGTTAAACTCTAGGTGGCGCTGAAGAGATGATGTCAGTAAAGGGATCAGAGGTCAGTGAATGAATTCTGATGTTTTCTCTCATATTTTCCCTTTACTGTAGA